GAGCGTCTTTGTAGGCAAAGGTATGAGCAGCTTTACTGCGAAATAACAGTACACAAAAACTGCGAAATTAGGCACATTATTGCTCTTTCAGCTCACCTCTAGGTACGGGTCATATAAAGTGACCTACTCAGACAACCGACCGGAACTTCCGCAGGACGGTTGGGGAAATTCCGCCGGGATACTGCGGAAACGCGCTGCGGAAGTTCCCGAATGAGGTGCTGCGGAAGTTCCGAGAAATGCGAACCACGACAGCAAAAGGGAAAACCTTAGCGAGATTTGAACCTTATTAGAATAAGAAATCTTATTAATATAATAAGAATCTATTGACTGTGAGACTCACCTACTATACTCTGCACTACAATTGACATGTTCGATAATGCACTCCGCTGCAAATTTTGCCTGCCCTGGGGAAGTTCCGGTGAATTGTCTGAGTAGTTGTGGGTATTGCTCCAACACTAAGCCGAGAATGGCTTTGTACGGCCAAGTTTGCACTTTACACGCATAATTTCATAGCAAAATAATGACCTTCAACGGCTTATAGTTTCGTCAACAAAAGCGCTGTGCAGATAAGGAAGACAGATTTAGAGTCAGCGTTTTATGCCGCATCTAAGGGCATGCAGCTTGCATGTAACTTCGACCTCTGACCATATTCTTGTTAGTATAGAAATGTTTATATCAATAGCTCATATCAGTTTAAAAGCATAAAAATCTGGAAATACCGTTTCGTGCCCTGGCAAGTTTTTACTTCTAGACCTCCTCCGGACTCCTAAACAAGGAGAGAGAGTTTATAATGTTTTATTGAAAAAGTAATTTCTGCGGCAAAACTCTGCTCACAAGGCGTCAGGCTGCCCTTCCAAAAAAGGGCGTGCGACAAGCCGGCTGAGAAACACCCCGTCGCATCACAAATGCAGACATGTCTCATAAAGTATCTCGAGTAAAGGCTAGGGCGTCCCCCGGAGGCGACGCGCATTCGAGCCCGACGAATGCGAATAGTGGGCGAGGGTTACCGTCTCAGCAAGGTGAACGGGGACGGCTAAAGCGGCTAGTCGCCTAAGGCAACGAACAAGGCATCGCAGACTCTCCGTCTAGCTACCATCAATATGGGTATACTCACCTCTCGTTCTCGTGAGTTAGCAGATCTTCTGAAGAGGCGGCGAGTCGATGTAGCCTGCATACAGGAAACGAAGTGGAGCGGGGCAAAGTCACGCGACGTCGGGGATGGATATAAGCTCCTGTACAACGGTGCCACCTGCACCAGAAACGGGGTTGGTATAGATGTCTCGGAGACTCTACGGAGCAATACAGTTGACGTTAAGCGCCTAAGCGATCGTCTGATGAGCATCAAGATAGACACTAGAAAACAGCTACGAGCAATCACCGCCTATGCTCCACAAGTCGGATGTAAGGATGACGAAGAAGACGCATTCTGGCAGGAGTTGGATGACTACATCAGTTCAATTCCACTGGATGAGACACTCCTGCTAGGAGCGGACCTCAACGGACATGTGGGAAAAAGGCGAGGAGAAGCCGGAAAATGTCACGTAGGCCACGGATACGGAACATGCAACGAAGAAGGTGAGCGCATTCTGGAATTGCCTCAGCTCATGATCTGGTGCTGGCGAACACATACTACATCAAGAAGGATGATCACTTCATAACATATGCGAGTGGCATCGACGAACACAGATAGACTTCTGGGCTATCCGACAACGTGACCTCAAGAACATAAAAGACTGCAAAGTCATTCCAGGTGAGAGCTGCATACCTCAGCACAGACCACTGCTTCTCGACATTAGAATCCCAATAAATAGGCACATCAGGAGAGCCACAGAGACCAGGACACGCATCAAATGGTGGAGATTGAAAGACAACAACGCGGCGAAACAAACACTGCAAACAACTCTACCACGCTTGCAAGATAACCCAAATCAATCCTGGAAAAGCTTGAAAGATCGAATCCACGAAGTGGCACACATGATCCTGGGAAGTACGAAGCCAAAAAAAAGGAGGATCAATTGAGAAACGTGGTGGTGGAATGACGAAGTGCAAAAAGTCATAAAGGAGAAGAGGAATGCGTACAAGCGATGGCATAAGACGAAATTGGAGGGCGATCGTCAGACGTACCAACAAACCAAGCAGGTTGCGAAGGCTTCCGTAAAGAATGCAGAACTGGTGTACTTGAAAGAGCTCTACGACCACCTAGAGTCTCGCGAGGGAGAACGTGAGATATACCGGATAGCGAAAAGAAGAACGGAATCCACAAAAAATTTGGAACACTTCCTCCATATCAAAGAAACTTGGTAGAGTGCTAAGAAAACCAGAGGACATCACCGAAAGATGGAGAACCTACTTCGAAGAAATGGCCACCGCAGACCGCACCACCATCAACTCCATCTCAGAAGCCAGTCCCATACAAGGACCAATACCAGCGATCACGGAAGAGGAAGTATGGCTAGCCATAAGAAGAACGAAGAATCGCAAAGCGACTGGTCCAGACGATATACCAAGCGAGTTCTGGAGAATATGTGGACAATTCGAGGCCACATGGTTAACGAGTCAATCCTCAATCAAGTCGTAAGGAGCAAGAGTATGCCTCGCGACTGGTACACCAGCACGACGATCCCGATATGGAAAAACAAAGGAGACATAGCAGACTGCTCTACCTACCGACCAATTCGACTGATGAGCCACACTCTAAAAATCTTCGAGCGAATAATCGAAACGCGTCTTCGAGATATCATAGAGTTGTCACCAAATCAGTGTGTATTCGTAAAAGGAGTAGGTACAACTGACGCAATCCACTCCGCCCGGATAGTAATGGAAAAGTATAGAGAGAAGCAGAAGGAATTGCATGCAGCCTTCCTGGACCTGGAGAAAGGTCTCGAGTACCCCACGAAGTCATATGGTGAACCTTACGGAAACACAGAGTGCCAGAGGAATACGTTCAGTGGATAAAGTTGATCTACCACAACGCTTCAAGCCACGTGCAAACAGCTGTAGGGCAATCGAAAGAATTCCTAATCAAGGTCGGAGTACACCAAGGTTCAGCTCTCTCTCCCTTGCTCTTCATTACTGTGATGAACGCCGCGATGGAACCGCGCAGACGCGATCCTCCTTGGACACTTCTTTATGCGGATGATGTGGTCTTGGCAAGTTCCAGAAGGGAGCTACAAGACGAAGTGCAAAACTGAAGAACAGGCTAGAGTTGTATGGCCTGAAGCTCAACATCAGGAAGACAGAGTATATGGAAGTGGGGGAAACAGATTCCTGGTATCATAAGCATCGATGGTGAAGAGCTAAATAAGACAACATCATATAAGTACCTAGGCACTCACATGTCAGGAGGGAGGCTCAAAAGAGGAGGTCGCAAGCAGGATGAACACAGCATGGATGAAATGGAGAGCCTTAGCAGGAGTTCTGTGCGACAAAAGAATGCCAGTGCAACTCAAGTCCCAACCAGGGTAAAGCGGGGGGTGCGGCACGCCGCAGGGGAGGGTCGTAAGGGGGGGGGGTTAGGTAAGGGGGGGGGTCGTAAGGGGGGGAGGTTAGGTGGGGGGGGGTCGTATCGACCCAGGGTCAAAAGCGGTTTCTAAGGAGAAATGACTGCAGCTAAGTTCTTAGATAAAGGATAACGGATTCGGCGTCCTCAACCCTCTGCAGGCATGCGCCGAACGCACACACTAACTTCATAGTCGTCTATTGTATGTGTGCAAGCCTATTACATTGATTTGCGCACTTGTACAAGCTGTGTGACTAAATTGACTTGATGAAAGCGCTGTTGAAATCCTGCAAATTCAAGTTCAACGACACAAACTTGCAGATACCGTATGCCTACCGTAACCTACCGTACCTCTAATCAAGCATAATTGTCGTAATCCGTGTGTCGAATAACCCCTATGCGCCAAGTTTCAGCGAACTCTGAGGTCTCCGAGCAGTAAACAACCTTGTATAAAGCAGTAATTTGAAACATGATTAACTTCATCTTAACGGTGAGTAAGCTACCTCTTCTTGCACTCAATACAAAGCACTACTCCTTCTTTGTCCACCTCAGGAATCCCGCTTCAGAAGAGCTCCAAACTACTGAATTAGAAGCCAACCAAAATCGCTTTTAGCTTTTGATCGCTGTGCTTTCACCAAATATTACTCAGAGCTAAGAAGACGAATCAGGCTCAAAACATCCCTGTGGAATCTACGAGGTTTAGGCTATTGATTCATATAAATATTGTCCGCTAAAAATGTTTTTTGATACAGTTAATGGCCTGCTGCACCCCCCCCCCCCTCGAAACCTGCGGCTGCCGCAGGTTTTGAGGGGGGGGGGGGTGCCGCAGGCCATTAACTTACCTTCAAAACGCTCAAACGAAACTCTTTTTTACACTATTCTATTGAGCCATCCTTCTCCTCTTCGTAGTAGCATTTGCCCCCCCCCCCCCAAGCGCGTTCTCTTAGTAGAGATACGGTGGGTTTTCTGAACCCTACTCACCGAAGCACCTAGTCCGACAACCGCCGAAAATATGTGTACGGTAGGATTCCAAAAACTGCCACCACACCAAGGGCGGAAGACAAGACAGCTTGAAATTCGCATCAATTTTCATACCATGTTTCTATCTTCCTATGATTTCTATGTTTCTCTGTTTCTGTTTCTATCCTCTTTTATTGCAGTGTCTGTCTATTGTCTGTTTGTCTTTTTATCATTCAGTCGTTTTATGTACAGGGTAAATGCAGAGCCAAGCGTGGTCGCTGTTTCAGATCCATGCTTGTTATTAGATATTGATATTTCTTGCAAGATCACTGCATATCCGAGAATCTGATCGGAACATGACTAGGAGTAATGCATCAGTAATATCAATTAGTTATTGCAGTAAGCCTTTATTGCGGAGCTCATTACAAATTTGGTGTTGATTCTATGAACGCTTCTTTTTTTGTATGCGTCAAAAGGCTGTTAATCTACGGATATACACTTTTGGCCAGATGTCGCTTAAATGAATTTCTTTCAGGTCATCATGCCTAGAGTAAATCTTGCTCCAACAAAGAATGGTCGTGTGCAGGCGTTGCAACGACTTGCCAAAAAGGTAAACAGTTTTGCCTTTGCAAGTTTTGTCTTTATTCGTTCGTCTGCATTTACGCTTCTTGTAAAAAAAACTCCGCATGATCTATTTAGGATGATTTTCTTCAGTTTATCTATCATTTAGATCCTATCCCTACATCCGTGCCAGCTCCTCCGTTGACTGCTAATCCGATATATCCAAAATTGCCAGAAATCTCCGGTGATCAAGTTCGTTCAACAGTGTCAGCTGTGAAATTATCTTTCCAAAGTTAGCTTATAGCTGGTGCTCGTTATCGCGCGACATCTTCCAACCTGAACACAATTTTTGAACTTTTTTTTCTGTATTTTACGCTCTTCATGAGAACGAAATAGGTGCACTAGCTATCTGTCTGAGAGCAGTGACCCGCATCGCTTTTTAACGTTTTATACCCCTCATTTCAGAAGGAGAACGCTACCAGACGCGATTTGAACGGCTTCGGCGTCTGTTTTCTGTGGGAAAGTCAAATGGCCGCAATTCGCCACCGGCCGTTATCGATATGGAGCAATTGAGAAAAGATTGTTGGATGGGGATTCCGCATAAGTTGCGACCGCAAGCTCGGCGTTTGCTCTTGGTATGACTTTGTTTGCTGTTTCCATCTAGATATTTATATTCACTTTTTTTCCTCCGCATTGCATCCCACGTCATTTGGAAATTTGCAAAAGCGCTCTCAGTGGATGCGAGGCTGAATGAATAATGTGTAGAATCTTTGTGAAATGTCTAGACATGGTATAATGCGAAATTATGCAACAGATAAAATGGGTTTCTTTGCGTAAGTGCTTTCAAAGCATGTACGTCAGCCGCGATAAAATCGCTACATTGTCATTTTTTTGTTGATAGAAATGTATTGCAGCAGTATCAGAAAAAGTTCTTTTGACGTTAACACGATGCACAGGCGCCTTGTTGGTGACCGTTGTACGCTGGTTTAGAGAGTGCTGAGCTCCATAGAAACTCAGATGACTGATAATTGACTGTCCTTGTTGAAAGTGTGGCACATCTTGGAGTTTGTTTTGATGTCAGCAAGAGTCTATTCGCTCAACTCTAAGTTACACGACATTTGATCGGGATCTTGTGCTGAGTGCATAAAAGTCTTGTGAATTCACAGTAGGCATGGATAGCGGTTGAATATCTTACTTTGCATGCTGGGCACGTCATACAGATCTTTTGAGAGACTTTACTGTGGGGTCGGGGGCTGAGTACTTTACATTTCAATATAACAGAAGCGAAGACACAGTAAGATTATATTTCGTTTGATTTTTTTCTGTAAGTTCACTTGGCATTTTGAATAGGATAATATGGACTTGTCACCATGTCATCCGCTAGACAGTGATATAGGCAGCCTATGACGTATGCGTAGTATATTAGATTACTGAAGAAAGGAACCGTCGGAGATCTGTAATTTTGCCATTTGCTCAGTCACATACGAGATCTGTTGCTAAAATCTGGGGATGGTATAATCCCATGTACTCTCCGAATCATTCAGCTGGGTGCGTCATGATTTAGTGGTACAGCAAGTATGAATACATTATTCATATTATTTCTAGTTTTATTCCAGCTTTTTTAGCACATGCAGTGTTGCTACAGTTGCCTTTGAGCATCATTTCAGGGATATTTACCAACGGATTACGAACGGAGAGAAGTCACATTGGCAAGTAAAAGAGAGCAGTACTGGCATTATGTTGAACAGTATTTCCACTTGCGATTCGATGATCAGAATAACGACACTTTCAGACAGGTTGGGTCATTTTTCATTTTCAGTTTTTTTATGATTGAACAAATGAACCTGTGATGTAGAATGCTACTGTCGCCAGTACACTCTATGGTAAATTTGTTCAGATTCATATCGACATACCAAGAATGTGTCCATTGATACCATTGTTTCAACAAAAACTTGTACAAGAGGTAGTTTTAACCTATAAGATATCTTTCAACAAAATCTTGTCTTCTTCACAGATGTTCGAAAGAATATTATACATCTGGGCGATACGCCACCCTGGTAGTGGTTATGTCCAAGGAATCAATGATCTTGTAACACCGTTTTTCGTAGTTTTCCTATCAGAGTTCGTGCCACAAGATGTAGAGGTAAGTGACTAACTGTAATTATTTGTTATGTTGCTATATATTAGGTCGTTCCATTAGTTCGTAGCGTTTTTATTTTCGTACTCTTTTTTTTTGAGGAGCGGTTGATTTGCGGCGGAATGCATATGTCATTTAGAAGTGCTGATTGTGCTCTTTAAAACACATCTACTGATTTTGATGGAAAGCTGATTCACTCGGATCTTGCAGCTTCCAAAGATGGAAATCTTGAAAGGCAAAAAGGAACAATTTCGGCATTTGCGCCTTTTTCGTTATGAAAAGAAACGTTTTTGCACAGATTTTTGTGTCGATTATCTAACGTGGCGTTTATCCATCAATATAAGATAAAAAAGAATTGGATTGATACAAAAGAGCAGGAGCTGAGCAGGATGTCCCTGAACAAGACTTTTCGGGGGACGGACCGGACGTCCTGCACTGAAAATTGCTGGACGAGTAGGCGACGGTCTACCACACCGTAAGCTATCCAACTGCACGGTTTAAAGCAGGTCCTACCGCAGAAAAAGCCTAACAGACAAATCCAGTGAGTTTTTCTGCATGACGAAACATGGCCTCATACGGCAAACGTCGTCAAAACTTTCCTGCACAATTCGACTGTAAGGTACTTTAGTACCCAAAATACTCTCCAAACCTCGCTCTACCAGGTTATCATTTGCTCCGCTCTCTGGCAAACCTCATAAATTGTGCATGTCTCCATTTCAGTAAGCAACTTGAGCGCTGGTTAGATGACTTTCTTGGGACCCGGCGCGCTGCCATTTGAAAAATTGAGGTTGAGAAGCTAACAAGAATGTGCCAAAAGGTTGTGCGCTACAACCAGGAATATAATTTTAAGAGATTTTTACTGTAAATTAATGATTTTGTTGGTTTATAAAAACGCTACAAACTTATGGAACAACCTAATAATTACATTTTGACAGGTTGGCTCATTTGATGTCTCGCAGCTTTCGCGTGAGCAGTGTGAACTGGTAGAAGCAGATTCATTTTGGTGTGTCTCTGCGCTGCTTGATTCCATGCATGACAATTACACATTTGCTCAAGCTGGAATTCAAAGGAAGGTGTTGCAGCTGAGACAGAGTAATGAGCAGAATTGATCGTGAGTTATAGTCTGCTAGCAGCACTTTTTGTAGCAAAATTGATTTTGTTGAAACTTAGCGTTGTTTTCATTCTAGGACCTCTTCATATGCATCTTGAGTGAAACGGAATTGAATATCTACAGTTTTCATTCCGATGGATGAACAATCTTTCATGAGAGAAATTCCTTTGCGGGCTACAATCCGCCTTTGGGATACTTACTTGGTGAGGATTTGAGGATAATCCTCTTTAAGAATTTTTATTGCTAAAAATGCGATTTTACGCCCTAACAGGTCGACGTCTTCATCTTATTGTTAGCTTTTCAGAGTGAACCCAATGGGTTCTCAATGATCTCACTTACACGGACCTCAGAGCATACATGTTAAGGTCTAACGTTCTCATGTTTTGGTATAATAAAATTTTGATTTTGTTATGTATGTTTTCATAAGATAAAAATGTTGAAATTTCGTCATGTTTTGATAAAAAGAGAAAATATGAAAGACAGTTCACTTTCTATGTGAAGCTCAAGGGTGGGGAGAGGGGAGGGGGGTAAAGGGGGGGGGGGTAGGGAATGGGGGAGGGTCGTGCCGGGCTGCTGCCCAGTGGGGGTCGTATCCGACGGTCGCGTGCCGCACCCCCCGCTTTACCCTGGTCCCAACTGTACAGGACCGTTATCCGCCCAGCAGCACTGTATGGCAGTGAGTGCTGGCCATGTACGCGGAGTGAGGAGCGCAAGCTCAGTGTCATGGAAACAAGGGTGCTACGATGGACCTTAGGTGTCACACTAAAAGATCACATCTGCAACGGCACTATACGAGCTAATTTGAAAGTCACTCCAATTGCCCAGAAAATGCAAGAAAAGAGGCTACGATGGTATGGGCATGTGCGCAGAAGTGCATGCGAGAACATTTGTTACCGAAAGAGTTAGACAATTTTTAAACACTTAGAATATTTTTTAAAGAAGAAATTTGTAATTTCTGTAGATGAACAGCAACTTCAGCAAGGGAAATGTTTTTAAAACCACCATCTTCCCCTTTGTGAGAATATATAGTTACATCTTCTATGGTAATTCCAAAAACAGGCAGAGTGATGTAAAAAAGGAAAGAAATGTTTAAAAAATACAAGGTGCTGGTCAGAAATACAGGGTGTCCCAAAAAAATGTATCGAACGTTTGATCGTTAATATCTCTCTTCTAAAGAAGTCTTTTTCTTTGCTTCAGGTGCCAGTCTGTAGAGCTGGTTTTAACTTAGATTTGCATTATAGAATGAATCACTCATCTCTCTTATTACTGTAGGATTACGGTAGAAACTTCGAAGAGGGTTTTAAGCAATGAAAGGCCATATTTTGCCTCAAAAAGGAAATAAAACAGCCTGAAAACTTTTATGCCAGGCTAATTAGAGTTGCTGATTATAACTGTAAAGTTCCCAATTTATCATGATGCTTCATTGAAGAGTTATGCCAGGTAAGAGGTAGCGGCCACTTTTTCAAAGTTCCTAAAAAGTGCGGTTACACCGTTTAGAAAGCTTCGTAATCTTGTGAATAGTTGAGTATTGAACTCAGCTTCCATAAAAACCCCAATACACAAGTTTTCACATTTTTAAAAAATTTTTTGAAACGGCAGTTTTTTCACATTGACACCATATGTTTCAAGTTTCTGCCGCAATCCTACAGTAATGAAGAGGGATGGGTAATTCCTTCTATAATACAAATCTCAGTTGAAGCCAGCTCTACAAAACGGTACCTGAATCAAGGCAAAAGACTTCTTGGGAAGAGAGATATTAATGATCAAACGTTCGATACATTTTTTTGGGACACCCTGTATAATTGCATGCTAATCCAGCAGCACATCGGTTCACATTTCAGAAAAAAGATAACCAGTGATGGTAGGGAATAAATTATGAACTTTGATTAGAAAAATGATGAGAAAGTACCTGGCTCCCCCCCCCCGTCGACATTTTATAATTTCTCTACCAAGTGAAACACCCTTCTGGAGAGGTTGCGACCACTGTCACCCCCTTCACCCTGGAGGAGTCATTCTCACCTTATCGCACCTGTGGGTGTAATTATGAGTTCGGATGCACTCATGGCGTCGACATGATCTGACCACCGCTCTTTGCCCTTTACACAGAATGATATCTCCAGCTTGGTTAGACATCTGCTATCCACATCGGACTTTCGGTAGGGTTGTCGATTTTTCTAGCTTGGTTGGAAATTGAATATACATAAATTTGTAGGCCAAAAACATGAAAATGTCGCTTTTACGTTAAATTTCAAAATTTTTCGACAACTAGTTCTTAAAAAGCTGAGAAGTTATTTTCTGCTAAAAGAGCTTTGCAGCATAGAATTATGCTGGATCTAACATTGTTTTTGCGGGAATGATCAGAACTTAACCCAGCCATACCAAACATGCTGTATATCATCGGACTCGCCTCAAAACGCTGATATTTCAAGTATATGTCTTTTATCTGCCAAGTATCTGGGAGGAGTTATGAGCGTTTGAACGTGCGATTTTTCAAGTGTTCTGTATGGCATGCTTCACGAAATAGGTTTTAAAAACACTTATTTAGGTTTTTGTTGAATGAGCGTCTTCATTGTAATCGAAACAACCATATCCACTGTAAATCTGCGACATCAGGCTGCCTTTCAAGAAAATATATTTGTCAAAACTCGAAGAATTTCTCATATTTGAACGCTCGTAACTTTTCCCAGATAGTCGCTTGGCAGATAAAAGTCCTATATTTGAAATCAGCGTTTTAAGACGAGTCCAATGATATACAGCTTGTTTGGAATGGCTGGGTTAAGTTCTGACCATTTCCTGCTAAGCATACCAACTTTTTTTCAACTACGACCATGGCAAAGACACGGAAACTGTACATATGAGCAGATGCTGTAATGGGCAACTTGAGCAAGTTGGAGTCAGGGCTTGGCACGAGCTGGCACGACGGAATTTTTAACGAAGCCCTCCTTGACTTTCGCTGAGTTTTGCGAATCCCCTTTGACCCTAAACCCTAGACCTAAGGAGAAAAAAACACAACGTCGACTGAGAAAAACGTTGCAATTTTTGTGTCCTTTCGGCCACAAAAACGATATTCCCTTTGCTTTTTGTCCCAAAAACGATATCCAGCTTGCCCCGTGTCAACTGATGCCGGGCCCTGGTTGAGGTAGGACTTTGTTGACAAAAATCCGACTTTTAAGCATCTAAGAGTTTCTGAGATTTTTCTTCCAAATAGTTATCAAAGTTCTTGCGGATAGGGGAGAAGCAGTTCTGAATAGCTTGCATTGCTCTTTCGAATGATACGTGTCCCACATTTGCATCTTTATCCTGCAGCGAACGCGTAAGAAACTGCTCTTTTTTTCCTGAGAGCCGAGTATTGATGTATTGGACTTTTTCCGTTGTGCTTTCTTTTCACAGCAATTGTAGTTGTTCCTCTGCTGCTTTAAAGTCGACAAGCAATGTGGCTAATGGAAAGAACCAATAAAAGGGTTTTGAGGGTTTCCCGATTCGTGTTAATTTCGTGGAAATTTCGGTCGCAAGAATAATGAATATGCCTTTCTCTCCTGTTAGTTTATAATTTACCTTTTAAGCAAAAAACTAAATTTTTGAATGCTTTTGTATGCAAATGCTGACTTAAATGAGTAGCAGATACATCATTATGATGTTACGTTTCGGGTATCCCGAACGTAATTGCACAGTTTCTAATTGTTGACGATTCTCATAATGAAGTCAATAATGAAGTCACATTTAGAAAAAGACTGGAAAAACGTGTTTCGGTTTATCTGGCATAGCTGATGAAAAAAGTCATCCATGTAAAGCAAGTTCCATATTCATAATGGCGACTAACTCAATCTTCTTGTTATGTACCCATTTGAAACAAAGTAGCCATTGATGGCTGAAAAAAAAGTCTTCTTCAAACTTT